TAAAAACAAGTTTTGCTATTCTCTATTAGATAGTGTTCTAAATTTAAAAAAATAAAACCAAAAAAAAAATGGTATAACACAAGTATACGCGTTAATAATGTATAAGGAAAATTCGTTTTTTATAGCCAAATTTTTGTTTTTTTTAATTACTATTTTCTATACTTCGTTAGCACATATATCATTTCATGCAGTTTTCTACTGATTATTTAAAGTAAGATCTATATGTAGATTCTCAATCTACCCACTAAAAAAAGGTAGAAACTTCTATTCAAGGTAGGATATGTGATATACCCTTAGTAAGGAGTAGTTTTCTACCTTTTAAAGTAGAAAATTATACCTTTATGTTAGAAAATCGTATAACAAATCATTGTTTTTAATATAATTTCCTACCTTAAAAAAAAGTTTTATCTGTTCGCAATTTTTTCGAACTCTGTGGGGGTTGGGGGTGAGGTCATTCTTGGTAAAATCCCCCTAAAAGTAAGGAGCTCGAAATGCTTACTTTTAGAGAGTACCTAATAAATTATCATTTCAGCATCAAAAATCACAAACTCGCTTGGTCATTTATTCACCTTTTTTTATACAACTATTAATGTATTAATAATTTTTTATATTTGTTCTTGGTTTTCGTAATTGATAAATATAATTTTTATTTATGTTTATTAACATAAACACTTTATGTTTACGCAACAAAATGTTTTGATTAAATTGCCTAATAAGTATTATGGCGTTGAAATACAACAGGAAACGCAGGCGTTTTGATGATCATTCTGAATTAAGTTGCAAAAATATTTTATTAGGGATCGTCCATAAAGTACGTACGTTCGGAGAGGAAGAGGAGGTCTGCAAATTTTCGTTTCTGAGATAAGGGGCAGTCGGTCAGTTATAAAAGTATGGAGACACTAAAGTAAAAAAAATATCATAAAATGTTGGGTTAGTAGGTTAAAAGTGTAGGTACTTTTAGGGAGGTAGAGAGTACTCAAATAAGCGTACGGATATTGCGGGGGGGGGGGGGGGGAGGGTGCGTTGGCGAAAAAAAAGCGTACGTAGTTTATGGACGACTCCTTACTGCACATTTCTGTTAACTTAACCATGACTCATTTAATTAAATTTTTTATTAAACAGATTATGTGTGTATCTGTACAGGTACACACATAATCTGTTTAATAAAAAGCTGTGTTTCTATTTGTAGTAAAAAAATTTCAGTTTCAAAAATTAATTTCACTAAATTATTTTCGTTCAAAACTATCTTCCTTTAATTATATAAATAAATTTAATTAAATATAATTTTGGAGGGAAGTTGCCTAATATGAGTAAGTTTCTAAGATACTATAACCATTTTCGCGGGTAGACTACTGGGTTTTTTTTGGAATGCTTTTGGCTAGGAATATTCATGCAGGTTTGACAGTGCTATTTATTTTTATTTAGTGGTAGTCTAGTCGATATTCTGTTGTATTTTATTGTTTGAGAATTTATTGCTTCATCAATATTTTATGCTTATCCATATCCAATTCCATTGGTTATATGAGCAAAAATACAGATATATAATATCATTTTAATTTACTTTAAACTTGTTAATAAGTAATAATATTCGGGCCTGGTGTAGCATCTTTTTTTAAGTAATTGTAAATGTTTAAAAAAATTATAATTTTATTAAAAAGTTTTGATCATGGTGTAGCACCTTTTTATAAGCTATTGCAAATGTTTAATAGAATCATGATTTTAATCAAAGTCTAAAAAATAGATCTTAACAACAAATAGTCATTAAATGCCTAAAAACAAATGATAAAACTAAAAAAATAACATAGTTAAGGAAATAAAAAGAATAGATTTGACAAGATTAAAAAACAAACGAAAACCTTAATGAATTTTTTTTCAATACAATTTTCAATTGTTGTTAAACTGTTGATGAATTTTTTTTAAAATCTTAACAAAAAATAAAAAAAATATATAAAAAATGAACAAAAACTCTTATGCGACTGTTTAATTTTGATAAAATATGATTACTGACAACGTTCTAATAGCGGTAGGTTATGGAACATTGCTATTTCAGTTTGTAGGAAACTAATCGATTGCTGTTTGTTTAAGTTCAGAAGTCAAACCTCGTTTGTTTACGTCCTTAAACTTTGACATTCAACATACCGACTAAAAATGGCGCGAGGGTATCAACAAACATTATTCGAACTAAAAATGGTGTATGGGTGTACGGGAGTGTAACTTATGAGGGATTGTTATTTTTTTTTTGAGAGTTTAATGTAAGAACATGTTTAAATAATAGATTGTCTGCTTTACAATGTTTTGTCCAACCCACTTGCAAAGTATGAAAAGTTTGCTACTTTAGACTTTGTCGTTAGAAATTGTTTTTTTTTTTTTTTTTCATTTTCTTGTATTAATGAACTTTAAGAAATTTATAAAAAATAGCGTTACTTATAATTAGTTTATGCGCAATTAGCATTTGTTTCTTAAGTGTGCTCTGTGCTTTTATTACCTTGCTCTGTACTTTTATTACGCTTATAATACAGTTTTTTTTTTTTGGCATTTACTCGTTTCTCCAAGTTTTTTTAGCATTTACTCGTTTCTCCAAGTTTTTTTGGCATTAACTCGTTTCTCCAGGTTTTTTTGGCATTAACTCGTTTCTCCAAGTTTTTTTGGCATTTACTCGTTTCTCCAGGTTTTTTTGGCATTTACTCGTTTCTCCAGGTTTTTGTTTAAATCATAAGTTTTTTTTTTAACTAAATCTCAAGGTTAAAAAAAAAAGTCTACAATTGAGATGATTACTTTTTAGCTAAAGATAACATTTTAGATTTTTTTTGTATGAATATTTGTAACCTTGCTTTTTTTATAAATGCAGTATTTTAAATCATATTTAGAAAAATATATTCTAAAAAAGGTAATATTAACAATAACAGCAACAACAATATATATTCTAAAATGAAAATGTCGTCAACTGTATTTTTATGGTTGTTTACAATTAGTACGAATACTAATATAAAGCAAAAACAAACATAAAAAAATCAAAGCAAAACGCAATATAACAAAAGTCTTATCTTCTTAGATTTTTTAATATTTATTTATGTACTCATAAGTGCTTATTAAACGGCAAAAGACGACCATTAATTTTCGAAAATTCTTCCCACCCACCTCAGACTAATTAAAAACCTCTCCTTCTCGTTTATTAATTTTTACTCGTTATCAACAAAAAAACATGTTAAAACTTAAAAAAAAATACATGAATTAGTGTTTTTAGGGCAGATTTTTTTGAGCAAAACTTTTGCTCATATATATCAGTCACTAATAAGAATAAAAACTTTCAGTATAATCAGGTTTTAAACCTTTGAAATCAACCTTTGAAAATTAACCTTTGAAATCAACCTTTGAAAAAATCTCGTAATTCTTAATTTGCCAAAAATTAGGAATTCGTTTATTTCTCACCATAATATAAAACTTATATAAGCATATTAAATTTTATTTAAACTATGATCAAACAATTGTTAAGAATGAGTATTTGACCGCAAGCCACACTAGAAAAAGGAATTCTCCTCCCCTCAGAAAGAAGTTCTATGACAATATCATAGTCTTCTCTTTTCTGTACCAAATGTGCAAGAGGCAAAGATAGATATTTAATTGTATTGCAGAGCGACACTTTTAAGCTGTCTATGAATAAACGCCATTGTGTAGGACGATGTTCAAGTCTAAGAGAAGTAAACAAACCAGTTTCATTTTTACATTGACACAAATCATTATACAAGTAATAGTAAATTTCAAATATATTTTTTTGTTTTGGGTACACTCAAGCCTAGTCGGTTCCATTCTATCACCGTTATTGAAAGAAGTTTAGCTCCTGACTTAGAAAGACCTTAGTCTCAAATTAAACCATCAACCTCACTAATTTTAAAGTGGGGTTGAAAAACCGCTACTTCAACATTGATATAAATAACAGTAGCGTTAAAAACTTCATTATACAACAAATGCTCAGTAAATACTTCGTGTTTAATTAAACTAAATGTAAGACTTCTGGACAGTATGATGAGAAGTATACTTACATTTCGTTGTAGTTGTGGTACTGGTAGGCTGTCATCGTGTGGGACAAGGCCTGTAGATGATGGTATGTACTTTTCTGTACTTCGTAATATCAATCATACAAAGGTAACAGTCACTTTAATGGTTCGAATTCTAGTGTGTTTATAGACCACAAATATGTCTCAATCAGTAACAACTGATAGACCAGTTGACCAAGTTGCTAGCATTATTTTAACAACAATAAATTTAACTATGCAAATGTGTATACTTTGCAGCATTGATGTGAGACGCAGTAGTTATATTGTGTCTTAAAATGATCATTTAACTCAAGCCACATTACTAAAGACCTGCAACTTAGCTGAAGACTTAACATTAAAGATTAAAGATAAAAAGATCAAAATTTAAAAGTTAAAAAAAGTATTTTTGGGAGTTTTAACGTAATTATTTACAGCAGTTTTTTTTTTACTGCGGTCACCTCCTTGATGTCAGAGGGGCCATTGCAGCCAAGGCAACATTAAAAAAAAATCAAAAAAATCTAAATAAATTAAATAAAACTAAATAAATTAAATAAAACTCTTATTAAATCACCCCTTAAACATCAAAACACGAACCTTACGTACTAGGCTGCTAAGTGAAAAAACAGATTGAGCCAGCTACTACTAGGACATGATGGAGATCGTTTACGAGAACTACGCAAATACTGCAAATAAAATTATTATTTTCTGTAATAGTTTAACCCCTAACCTTTCTCTCACTCTTTCTCTCTCTCTCTAAATTGGGGAGGTTTCAAACAGCGATAAATTTAGCGTTGATGAAGATAACAAATTAATTTTTCAAAAAAAATGAGTATAAATTGTCAAACTCAACTTGAAAAGTTGAACTGTTTCAAAGATACACAGGGCAAGGGCATTTTAGGTCCAAAAGATTTCTTAGAAAGCTAAACAAACAAACAAACAAACAAAAAAGCAGGGTTAAGAATATACCTCATTTGCAACACTAAAATTTTCTTCGGTTTCGGGATTAAAGTAAACAACGTCAACTATTTTATTGTTTTTGTTACTTGATATTTCTGAAGATTTCAGATCAACATCAATGAACGTATCTTGCGAGATTGGTTCGTTAGCATCGTTTTGAAAATGAGTATTAGCGACATTTGCTTCGGCCTCAATCTCCAAATGATTATGCAAAGTCATTCCAACACAACTGTTTTTCACAAAATTTAACTTCGACAAATAATTTTGATTATAGCTTTACTAAATATCTTTATTAAATAAATATCTTATGTTTTATAACTTAGTTCTTTAATAACGCAGAAATGTAATTCTTAAAAATAACAAAACACTAGTTATAAAGATTATTAAAACAATTATAATTATACATGCATGCTAATTTATTGAGTTTTATAAAGATAATGCATCAATATTCTTATAGAAACAATATATTATAATTTATTATAATCGTTTGCAGATGCAATAAAAATTTTATTACTTTATGCAAAGCATAAATTTAAATAAAAATGTTTAACGTTTATTCGTAACCACTGATCTCAAAATATATTATATTTTGTAATATATATTATATCTCATATAATATATCTCATATAATATATATTATATCTCAAAATATATTATATTTTGTAATATATATTATATCTCATATAATATATCTCATATAATATATATTATATCTCAAAATATGTTATATTTTGTAATATATATTATATCTCATATAATATATCTCATATAATATATATTATATCTCTAAATATATTATATTTTGTAATATATATTATATCTCATATAATATATCTCATATAATATATATTATATCTCAAAATATATTATATTTTGTAAAATATATTATATCTCATATAATATATCTCATATAATATATATTATATCTCAAAATATATTATATCTCAAAATATATTATATTTTGAGATCGTAACGGCATAAGTTTTTACTTAAAAAAATAATACCTGATTTTAATATGAAAAAATAATTATAATTTTTGATATTTTTATTTGAGCTTTAAAAATAAATTATAAAATATTACCAATTATATAAAATATTACCAATTAATAAAAATTTTATTATATCCATTGATATTCTGCGATATCTCTCTTAACTTTTTGAATAGCTCTTTGATCAGAGTACTGTTTTATAACACTAAAGTGCACTGATCTAATCAATTAGGACACTATGTGTTATAACAAAAATGTTTAAGAATGTGATGTATTGTATTCATCTAGAGTACATACATAAAAGATTATGGTGTACATTACGTACAATTACGTAATGTACACTACGTTCAAAGTACGTAATGTAGAATATAATCTTTTCTGTATATACTCTAGATGAATACAATACATCACTTTTTTAAACATTTTTTATTTAAAAAAATTTGGCTTTTAATTTTGTTGATTGCTAGTATTGGTTTGAAATAAACATGAAATGTAACTGAAATTAAAAAAAGAATCAAGGCTTTCAAAATATTTTGGAGAAAGTAAGGATGTGAGCCGAAACAATTGAAACAATGAAAAAAAGGTATCCTGAGGAAGAGTCTGCTAATGCAAAAATGTTTGCTCATCAAATAAGATAATGTAAAAAATGTAAGGAAAATTTACATTTAAGGATCGAAGAAACAATGTTTAGAGTTTTACTTGTATCTACTGTCCAACCGTTTATCAATTGTTTTACTTTTATTCAAGTTGATTTTTGAAGAGAACTTTGTGTAAAGTAGGCAGACTTGGTTCTTCATTGGTGGAAAAGATCAATTGCTATTTTCAAGTTTCCTGCGTAAATAAACAAGATAACTTAAATAAAGGAAAAAAAGTTATACTGGAATAAGTTACACTAGAAGACACAAAAAATTACACTTGAAGACAGCCCAAAAAATTGTTTCTACGTAGAAAACAAAAATAGAATAACTGTTGAACATTACGGTTTGTAAATTTAAAATTATCTCATGTAATAAAGAGTCTTCAAAATTAAACAGTTTTTTAGATCCTGTTCCTAGAACATGTACACATTCAGTGTAATTGACCGAGAGTAAAAGAGATTCTAAAAAATAAGTTTACTTAATTAAAAGCTACGAGAGAAAAAACTGGGTCTCAATCAAAATGTTAAGTGTGCTGTTTATACTCTGGGAATGATACTCAGGAAATGGAAAATCTTCTTTATGATACTAAGGAAATAGTTAGACTTATTTAGAAATGAGGAAACTGAAAAGAAAAGCAAGTATATATAAAAATTTGAGAAAAAATAAATTGAAAAATAATTTATTTTTTTAAATGTTTTATTAGGGATGATGATTCAAATGGAATAAAAATTAACAAAGAGCCTGCTTCAGAAAATAACTAAATTTTTTTTTTTTTAAATCTTAAATTATTTTTTTTTTTCATAGTAATTATAGGATAAGAGCCATCTAGCCCAGAAAAATATTTGCCAACTGTTTTTTTTTTTTTCAATAAACAGCCTACAAATCATGAAACTATTAAAAAAAAAAAACAGACTTTAAAAGAGTAAATCATTTGTGAATCTTTAAAAAATTTATTCTTCATAAGAAATATTTTTTTCTTTGTAAAATAAACGAAAGCGGTTATAAATAAAATAAAGCTACAATATGAGATCATTTAGCAATTTTTATCCCTTATTAACAAAAAATTCAAGTTTTTGAAACTTTTCAGTCATACAATTATTGCAAATATTTATTAAAAGATGCACAAAATCATACAGAAGATATATATTATTCTTTGTTCACCAAGGTACGCTACCTGTCTCAAATTTACTGAAATAGGTTTGATTTACCCTGTTACCATCACAAATTATAGAAATAACATGGCCACTTGCAGCTTTTATGGCAGATAAAAAAAATAATTTGTTCAAAAAGAAAATTTAAATCGATTTCACTAACAAGAAACATTTTACATAAAAATTTGGGTTCACCAAACAAAGTATTAGTACTTTGTTTGGTGAACGATAAAACTTAAAACAGTATTCACAAGGACATTACTGCTTTTCCAAAAACTGTTCCCCCTGGTACTGCAACATAGTTTTAACATAAACTTCATTTTAATAGAAGAATGCAGTTTTTATGTCTAATGCTTGTTAACTTTGAAAAAACCTTTTGAAAATAAATATCCTCATGAATAGATTTTACTTTTGATGTTATTCCTGCTAATGTTGTAATGCTAGGAAGTTCAATGTCTTCTCGAAGACGATTATATGTATATATAGCACGTGGTATTGCTAGTTACTCAAATGCTCTAATCATTGTTTCAAAAAAGTATTTTTTATCGGTAATACGTTTATCGCTCATTGAAAAAAAGTTGCTGTTATATAATTTTTTTTACTGCTAATCTCATATGATCTAACTAATTTAAAAACTGAATTGCTTCTATCTATTCAATATGTAGTTTTGTTCTGTTCTGTGTTTTTAATTAAACATTTAACTCCAAAGTGAAAAGATTCATACTGAATTATTATTTATTTTTAGAACAAGCAATGGAACACCTGTGTTCAAAACTTGATTTTCTGTTTTAGTATTAAATATATCAATTCGATTAAATTTATAGTTTCCTTTGTTTGTTTTCAGATCATTAAAAGATTTTAAAACATCTTTTAAATTGAAATCAGGCAACTCGTCAGATTGAATATTTCTATATTTTCTGCATATGATCTTGAAGTTGTTCTGGGACAGCCAGATGGTTTAGGTAATAAACTTGGTTTTACACACTTAAACACAGATGGAGAATCACAAAGTCTTTCTTTGCCGTAATCTTTTGTCAAAACGTATTTAACAGGATACTGAGTTTTTTGTTGAAAATGTAATAAGATTAGAAAACGTAACTATTATTTTCCTGTGTTAAGTTAAAAACTGGTTTTTATCACAAATATTTTGAGATAATGAATTTATACATTTATCTCTGATCAATATTGGCAAGCAATTAAGATGTCAAAAAGCTAAAGCAATTTTAAAAGACGATAACGATAAATTAATGAACAGCTAGGAACAACTATCAGCAAACATATGGTCAGTAATTATGAAAATTAAACGAGAAAAGCTGCAGAATGCATATCAGCCTACAATTCATGACTTTTTTCTTCATGCATAATATATTTCTTAATAAAGATTTGTTTATATAGTTAATAATTTAGTTTGCTAATTTTTTTCTTATTTGCGCACTCGTAGTGAATCGCGCAACGCAGCGCCTGTTTCACAGTTTGCGCAAGTACCCCAAGAACTTCTTGAGGCACCTAAAAAAAAATTTAAATATTAAAAAAAAAGAAAAATCTCTTTGATTAGGGGTCGTCCATTAAGTACGTACGCTTTTTTTCTTCCCCCGCATTTTGCAATACGCTTTTTTGATTACCCTCTGTGAAACGCGATTTTCAAAGCACAGCGCAGAATTCATTCGCTACCCTTCACGGTAAAAGAGCAGTTGATGGTGTAGGAGGATCGTTGAAGCGATTTGTTTGGAACAGCGAAAAATCTCGTAAAGTTGTTTTCTGAAAAGCTAAAGACTTCCTCTTAGCATCAAATGGGTGCAAAACTTATGTTAGCCTAATTGAGACAGATTATATTATTATAAGGTATGTCCTTATAGCTGATTAAATTGAAAAAACAAAAACTATTAAAAATATTACCAAAATGCATTTCTTGTAGGTAAAAAATACAAGTTTTTAGGTTTCAAAATTGTTTAATATTTTGTAACGGGTTCGTAAAATAATTTTAAAAATTAATATTTTTACTTTTTATAAGAAATATGTTGAATTTTACTTTTTTAAAAGAACTATAACTTATGTTGAGAACAAGGAGCATTAAAGACAGAGATGTATTTGATTTTTTAGCGCCCCAAGGTACTGTTCCTTCAAGCGTCCTTTTTTAAGAATAACTGTCAACTTTGATATGGGTGATTATTAAAAAACAAACATATTTTCTATACAAACATATATTAGGTTATATTAATCACTATAGAAATTTATAATTTTTTATGTGAATTTTAGTGACGTTATAAATACGTTTTGCAAATGTATTTATAACGTCATTAAAGTTCATATCTATGGTAAGTGCAAATTCTATGAATAGAATTGCTAACCTATTAAGGCGATCACTTGTCATTCGCAACCTCAAATAAGATTTAACTCTCTGAAAATTATTCTTCGGCTGAACAATTGGACGTTGGGCAGCATAAATATATTCCTAATGCTATATCTACATAAGGTAACAGCTCTTGAAGTTTTTCAGTTCTGATCATTTCATAAATATCTATTATGGTTTTAGGTTGTACGTTTTCAGCTAAACTCAATAAATAACTTCTGCTTTTTTGTAAACTTCTGATGGCAAAAGTTTTATGATTTGAAAATTAAATTTTTTATTAGCTTCATCATAGCGCAGTTTTCTTAATTCTTGTTCAGAATGAAGTTTATTAATTATAGCATAATCTGTCTTAATTCTTAAAGGGTCTCGAATTTCAAAATTTGTTTCTCTCATTTTTATCTGCAGTTAATTTTCTTTTTCTTTTGCGTATTTTTTGATATGTTTTGTGTCCCGACTTATTAATTACTCTCTCTTTATAAATATCAAACATACTCCTTAAATCTAATACATATCGAATTAAAGATTTGTATAAACTTACAACTGTTTCTAAATCAATCTCAACTGGCTGCAATTGTTTACTAGTTTTATTGAATTTTTCTAGTATATTGCCCCATAATGCGGCCATTATAGCTGTTTCAAGACTTTCCATATAGCCCGTTAGCTTCTGATCTTTTAATAGATTTTTCTGTTTTATTATCTTTGATAAAAGACAGTGCATTAATTATTTCAATCCAATTTTTGTTTAAACTAATGTTTGCATCAGAACTTGCTGACCATCTGGTATCTGATTTTTCATGTGATACATTTTCAGTTTTAATCAGGTTCTTCTGAAGTTATTCCCATCTATAAGTAAAGGCACTGAAAAATTTATTAATATTTTGAAGCAGAATAAAAAATTCAGAAGCATAAATACAACAGTCCATAGCGCAACAAGATTTAAAGAGTGTGCTGAGCATGGTACAAATATTGCTAAAGGATTAACTTTTTAATGCAAGCTTGAAGTCCCGTGTATCTACCAGACATATTAGACGCATTGTTGTAACTTTGACCATGAAAATTGTTAAAATTTAATCCATGCAATTCTAAAACTAAAAATACAGCATCTGCTAATTCTTCAGATTTATGACCAGAATTGGGTAAAAACCCTAAAAATCTTTCTACCGGACAGCAACTCTTTTGAAACATACCGAATAATAAATGACAGTAGATCTACATGGCTAATGTCAGGAGTAGAATAAATACTGATGGAAAAGTATTTAGCTTCCTTTATTTCTTTCACCATTTGTTGAATAACATAATCTGCAATTATACTTATGAACTGCTCATATTTATTAAATGATAGGTACGAAGTTGAACCTTTTCATTTCCAAACTTCTCAATGTGTTGTGCTAAAAAAGGATCAAACTGAGCGATAAGCTTATCATGAAGTTCCCATTATGAACAGATCCAAAACGGTCATCATCACCTCTAAAAGACATTCCGCGAGAAGAAAGGTATTTCACGACAGCTACTACTCTTGTCAATACATTTTTCCAATAATTTTTTCTGTTTCTACTTGAAACTTTAGCTTATGATCAACTCAAGTTAATACTTCTTTTCTTTATTTCATATTTACTACACACAATTTGTGGTGTTGTGAATACACTGTGTTAAAGCCAATGTCGGGCCGAGCTCGGCTGTCGATATCGGACCTACGGCGTTTTTGTCCATACGGACCGAGGTCGGCCCGACATCGGCTAGCCGCTCAAACTGTCGCGATGAATCGGCTGGCCGATGTTGAGCCGACGCGATTCCAATCAAATCAACGGCTGGCCGTTCTCGGCCCGAAGTGTATGGACAAAAATAATGGCGGTCCAATGTCGACAGCCGAGCTGGGCCCGATGATTAAAGTTCAAAACAACAAGTCGAATTAACCCACCATCTCAGAAATACTTGATTTTTGGCACAAATGCAGTTAATAGTGTCGTTAGGAATAATCAAAAATAATTTGGTGTCAGTTTCATTATTTTAAGAGTTATGGGACTTTGAAGTTTGAGAATTTTTAAAATTTTTTTAATCTCCGCGCTCTTAGCAACGTCTATAGCAACACTAAAATGTTGAAGTATACACAGTTGAACATACATTAACCATACGTTTACAAAATTTAATAGGTATAGAAACTTTTAAAGAAAAAAATCAAAAATCATTACTAAAGTTATTAGATCTTATATTTGAATAAAAACTTTGAAATGCAAACCGGGTTTTTAACAATAATTCTTTAGTAAACATGTCTAGTTTAAGATTAATTGCAGAAAAGGTATTGATCTATTCACTTTAAATCTTTACAAAAATAGTTTATATATAAATACCTGTAAGAGACAAAAATTATTTCACTGTTTTTTAATGCACATATCTATTTTATTTTTGTGTTATTTTTGCAATTTTATTTTTGCATTTTTATTTACCGCTTTGGTTATAATCTCCATTTAAAGATTATAACTAAAATAATTTCTCACAAAAAAGTAATGATTTCTCACATAGATACTATTATTATTGATACTCAAATGTTAGAACCATTTGCTCCATTTAATTAATTAAACAAGAAACCAGAAATTCATTTTTTATTAAGAGTAATCATATGATTACACTTATTTAATTTAAAATAAAAATGAATTTCTGGTTTCTCCTTGTATTAATTAAACGGAGCAATTTATTCTAACAATTGAATTTTGATTATAATACTCATGCAAGAAATTATTATTTATTTGATAATAGTTTTAAAAAAATAAAATATTGAAATTAAATATTTTTATAATGGCTGAAACATCACAATGCTCAGTTGGATTGATTTTAAAATCATATTGTCACAAGTTAACATTTACAAACCATTAAATAACACAAGTTAACATTTACAAACCATTAAAATAAACTTTTTTCAAGATTAAGCTCTAGATGAGCAAAATTTAGTTGCGCTAAGGTCTGGTGTTTCTTGAGACGTTCCCTGTGTTTCATAATAAATGCTGTGATCTTAGTAAAGCTTTGCATTTAGAGTTAATATCCACAGGAACTTCATTTGGTTTTTTTATTGTATTTTTGTAAAAAATATTTACATATAAGTTTTAATTCTATACTAAAAGTGTAAATGTGTTGAAATCAATATTTAGTCATCCATTTAAAAAACTATTTCACGCACCAAAAAAAAAAAATATGACTTGCTCTCAAATTTCTCAAAAGCCTTGCATTTAAAAAATTTGAGAAATGAAATTTTATACTGAAATTCAGACAGAATTTTTGAGCCTCAGAAATTTAACTAAAATTAAAAGTAAACGGCAACATATCTCAAACTTATTAATAGCTCAGACTGAGCTATTAATAAGTTTGAGATAAGTTAACATTTACTTTTTTTTTAGAATTGTCAAATTTTTTATTGAATTGAAGGCATATTCTGTTATTATGCAATGAACAAATGTTGAAAATTTTTAAAAATAGTTTATATGGTTTAGTGTGCTTACAAGTAATGGTATAGTGTGTTTAATTTTAATTTTTTTTCAAACAAATCTCATAGACTTTTTGAAAAACCTTTGAATTTGCTATGTTTTGTAAAATGACTTTGGCAAATTTTTTTTTACAAAAATAGCAAAGTTTTACTATGTAGCACTGCAGTATGTAAACTTTGCATGTTATTCACTTTCACATAAATCATTTAATAAATGGTTTATGTATTTATAAATAATAAGTTTTACATACTTATGAAAAAAATTAAAATTATGCATTTATTAAGTGTAAGATTTTACATATATTATAAATTATATAATTAATATATTTCTCATAGTATAAGTAATATATTATCAAATATATAACTTATAGAAAATCTTAAATCTTACATTTATTTTATGCATTTACAAATGATATCTAAATTTTCATATCAATCAATCAACATATATTTCTGAAATATTTGGTATTACATTTTAAGGTTGTTTACAAATAGTAAAAATTACTAATATTACGTAAACACCTAATGATAATGATTAAAATAGTAATGGTAATAATAATAAAAATAATATTTATTATAATAATAATAACATGTTATTTTAACAAAAGTATTAATAATATAGTAATTAAAATAATTTAAATAAATCAGTATGATTTTCCATACAACAATCATTTTTACATACAAAGTTACAGTTACAAACAGTAATAAACTGACAAAACGTAACAACTAACGATGACATAAAAATAACAATTCCAAAAAAAAATTATAAAGATTTAGTAAATATATTTTTCTTATAATATAATAACCGAAATATATTGCAAATAATATGAAAAAGTAAATAAATAAAATATCAACTGAAAAACACTGAGATAATCAAAATAAAACAAAAACTACAACAAATATTACAAGCAAAATAAAATATTATGTTAAGTTCTTATGGCAATAAAAACAAAAAAATAACATTAACAACAAGAAGAAAACAACAACATAAATTAAAAATAAATAATTAGAAAAGCAAAAAAGTAATAATAATACACGGTAGAATAAAACATATAATAAATGGTTAAAAAGAAAATAAAAACAAAGTTATATAACTCTACAACAAATTAGATATCACTATTTAAAAATAATTAATAACTAAAAAATAAAACAATGACTTACAAAAATTAATAAGTAATACTATGTTTTGTAAAGTAATACTATGTAAGTGTTTTGTAAAGTAATGCTACGTAAATACTAAGTAATATTATGTTTTGTAAAGTAATACTTATTAGTAATACTATGTTTTGTAAACTAATACTAAACAAAACATAATAATACTATGTTTTGTAAAGTAATAATATTTATAATTTGAGTTATATTATAAATATTATAACTTAAATTTTAATTTGTAGGTTTTAAATGAAAAATTTTTAAATAATTTATATTGCTTATTGTTTGCAAATAAAAGTAATTAATAATAAAAATGACAACTGGGTCCCAGCTGGGATGTAACTCGATTATTAGAACTGATTTATGGCTGGGATTTCAACTGGGTAAAAGATGGGTCCCATATAGTGCAACGATTTTGGCAAAAATTATGCTTGGAAATATAATAAAATCTTTTAAAATGACATATTCAGTAATGCAGATTGATTTGGATTGAATATACACTTGCATTTGGAGTGAACAGGAACTTAATTTGGTTCATTTTTTTGTATTTTTGCAAAAAAATAATTATTTACATATCAGTTTTAATTCAAAAAAATGTGGCATATTCTTAAACTTCTTAAATGCTCTAAATTTCATAGCCATTGATAAGTTTGAGAGTCAATGTTTACTTTTTTACAGACTTGTTTAATGTTTTATCAAACTGAAGGCATATTTTTTATTTTTTTATGCTATAGACAAATGTTGAAAATTTTTCAAATTAGTTTATATGGTTTGGTGTGCCTACAGTTATGGCTTAGTCACTAAGTTACGAAAACAAAATACACTAAGTTAGTGTTTCTAAGTAACACTGCCATATCTAAACTTTACATATTATTTATAAATACATAAATGTTTTACTTTTTCTATAAGTTATATAATTAATAATATATTACTTATATTATAAATACTGTAACTGATATTATAAGTTATAATATAAGGTTTTATATAAAAAAATGTTTAAATTATTTATATTGTAAATTATTTGTAAATAATAGTAAGTAATGACAAAAATTATTTGGTGTTTCAATGTTTAACTTTATTTGTCTGTAATAATAAAATAATTATCACATTTTGTTTGAACATATTTATTAAATACATTTTTAAAATTCTTTAAAATATAAAATTGTATATATTTTGATAGCAATATTCAGACATGTGTTTAAGAAACAATTTGGCCTGTCTAAAAGAGGAAAATGTTGAGTTTAAAGGTTTTAAGATGTTTTTTAATTAATTTTCACAGGATGTTATATAATTTTTTTAGAATGTGTTGTGAAATAAAATAGAATATGTTATGAAATAAAATTTTATATATAATATAAAGTTTTAAAATATAAAATTTAGATATAAAATAAAGTTTTAGAATATGTTGTGAAATAAAATAAATGTACAATCATAAAATGCTACTCAAGTGCAATATAAAATTGAAAATGTAGTTTTGATACTAAATATTGCAACAACTGAATGCTTGAATAATCATGAATGTTTTGTATTTTTCACTTGCTATAGTAAGTCAATTTCATTGCGTTATTATATGATATCATATAGTCATATATAATATGTTTATTTACAATATAAAAAAGATATCAATTTTTTTTGGTAATACATTTTTTATTTATGTTATTTTTGTACTTTTTAACTTTATTAAATTTATTAAAGAGGTTCAATAGTATCTATGTTTTGTTTTTAGTGTTGGTTTGTGTTGACTAATGATTAACAACAGAAAATACATTACTTCAACAAATTTTAATTTTTTACACATAAAAGTTATGAAAAATCCTATGAAATGATTTATCTAAATCTAGTAAGTTTACACTTAATCTGACAACATTATTTTGAATATTTTATATTTCAAGTAATAATATAACTTAAAATGACCATCGTTTAAATAGATGGAGAGGTTAAGGCCATCGCTCTTGACATTTCTTAAGCTTTTGATAAAGTTTGGCATGCTGGTCTTCTCCATAAGCTTTCTTCTTATGGTGTATCTGGTAACATCTTTAAGATTATTGAATCCTTTCTAACGAATCGTAGTATAAAAGTTGTCTTTGATGGACAGCACTTTTCTTCATATCCTGTAACTTCAGGTATTCCTCAAGGTTCTATCCTTGGCCCTAAACTCTTTTTAATTTATATTAATAATCTTCCAGATATTTTTACATCTGAGCTGGCTTTGTTCGCTGATGATACTACTATTTGTTCTTGTCTTGATAAGAAGCCAAAAATCTCTAATTGCTTAAAGGGGGTATTTGAGCTTGAAAAGAATCTCACTTCTGCTACAGCATGGGGCTCACAGTGGCTGGTAAACTTTAATTCAGATAAAGCTCTTTTTTTTTTCAGCCAATCGTTATTGCAATAATTTAGATCTTCCTATATTTATGAGTGGTAATGTACTTGATAAGTCATCACCCCTCATCTTCTAGGATTAACTCTTCTGATCTTTCTTGAAAACCATATATCAAATCTGTTGCAAAATTGGCATCTGCTAAAGTTGCATCTCTTTATTGAGCTCAACACTTTCTTACTCTGGATTCTATTCTCTATCTCTATAAATCTCAAATCCGGCCTTGTATGGAATACTGTTGCCATATCTGGGGAAGATCTTCTAATGATGCTCTTTCTCTTTTAGACAAGGTGCAAAAACGCATTGTAAGCATAACTATGTTTACAATGCGTTTTTGACCTGCTTTTGCAGCCAACTTTTAACCTTTATCACATTGTTGTAATGTTGCTTCTTTCTCTTTTTTACAAATACTATAATGAGCACTGCTATTCGTCTAGTTTTTTTCCTCGAACTTCAGTTCTTTGGAATTCGCTTCCTTCATCTTGCTTTCCAGATTCATATAATTTGCAATCTTTTACGTCGTCTGTCAATCGGTATCTTGCTCTACAATCTTCATCTTCTCTCTTCCAGAAACTTCCAACACTAACTAGTGTAGCCTTGTTGGAAGCGAAGATGTTTTTTTTTAAAATAAAAAAAAGGTACAATCTAAATGTTAGTGATATTGATTATTTTTGCATTTATTAAATTATATAAAAGATATTAAACCCTCACCAACTGATTTAAGAGTTTGATGTCAGGTTAACTTGAGTCAAGACTTTAAATTTTAAATGCTAACATATTAGTCATGTTATATTATTGTTGTTTACAAGTCTATTTATGTCATACCTAATTAATAACATTAAACATTTACCATGAAATAACATTGTTTTAGATTCCCTGCAAGATTCCTGTTAAAAAGAAAAACTGAAGAAACTATAAAACTAGATGATGGCAAATGAAGAAGCCTCTACTTCAATCTGGCTATTGTTATAACACGTATATCGATTTATATACTGTATTGAGTTAGCTTGTGATTTGTACGTGTGTTTTTGTTTGCCTATTGTTTGTTAGTTATATGCAAGATATGGCATGGTGTTACACACAGCATGCTATGCCCTAAATAATACTATCATTAAATATTTTTATCTATACTTTGTAAATATATATGCTATAAGTTATTATACTATTTAAATGTTTATTTTTAATTTATAAAATAAGTGTAAAAGTGGATGAAAGCACTAAAGAAGCGTAACGATGAACTTTATTGTGGCGATATGAGAGAACTAATGAGGCAGTGATTATGGTGGCGATATGAGAGAACTAATGTGGCAGAATATTACTAATACCGTAGAACAGTTTTGCATCAAATCATTGTATAATATTAGTTTTTTGTTGCTTAAAATATTATGAAATTTAAATATGTTTTTTCAATTGATTCGTAAAAGTTATATCAAACCAAATATTCATTTGCCTTATACATTTTATTGCCCTGACAGCGAATTTAATATAGATAAACCTTTACTTTTTAATTTTATATAAAAAATGCGACGCTTTTTAATCAAAAAATTGTCACATTATTTCGCAGATTTGAGGTACAAAAAATGCTAAAAACAAACTATAAAAAATTAAGAAAACCCGCGGTAAATGAAAAAAATATCTGGGTTCAATATGGGATTTCCCGTCAAAAACCCAGACTAATCCCAGATAGGACCCAGTTGGATCCCACTGACAGAATCGCAATGGGACCCATATGGGTCCTATCATTTTTTCCAGTTGGGCCCCATTCGGGACCCAGTTGGAATAGTTAACTGGGTAGCTTTAAACAACAGGTTCAATATTGTACCTGGTCAAAAATTTTGTACAAATTGCTTAGTCAAATTGAAGTTTCCACTGAAATTAATACTGATAACATTAATATTGCTGATGATTACACAAATGAAAGTATAGATAAAGAAAACATTTAACGTTCAATAAATAGCTGATATAAAAAAAATCAGACAAGAGCTTTCTGATTGTCTCAGTATAATTGGTGTGTCACCAGTCAATCTTCACGGAAAGCCATTTACAAATCGTATGACTATTGGGAAAAAAAAATTAAAACTATCAGAAAAGTTATCAAGTTCTTTAAAAATTCCATTGACAGAAGTTAAAGTTTTCGATGATGAATATGTTCTTGACTTGTTCTTGAGTTCAAAAAAATGTTAGTTTTAATAAAAGATAAACTTAAAAAATGCAGTTCATTTAGGAACAAAATTCAAGTATTGAATTTGTTCCCACAAGAATGGTCAATTGAAGCAGCTAGTGAGTATTTTGGTGTTTCAAATCATCGAATCATAAAATCTAGTTCTTTAGCAAAGAAGGAAGAGTTCTTGCAGTTCCACAAACTAAGCGAGGTAAAATGTTCCCTGATCAAATAAATACTTAAGTGAAAAATTTTTATGAAGATGAATAATTCTTGCCAGATGCCTGGTCAAAAAGATTTTGTAAGTGTTAGTTAGAAAGTCCATATGCAAAAGCGACTACTTTTCTCAAGCTTAAAAGAGTTATTTGTCTCATTTAAAATTCTATATCCACATGTAAAGTTAGGTTTTTCCAAGTTTTGTGTTTTTAGACCTAAATGGTGTGTTTTGCTAAACTCATCAGGAACCCATACTGTGTGCGTTTGTATTTACCATCAAAACATGAAGTTAATTCTCCTACCCATTAAAACTGATTACCATGAGCTATATAAATTTATTGTTTGTGATATGCAAAACAAAGAATGCATGTTACATCAATGTACACAATGTCCAAAAAATACATCTAAATTAGAAGAAAAGCTATTGAAACTAATATGGTAGTTTGAGGAAGAAGATACTATCGAATTTAACCAATGGGTTACTACTGATAAATAAGATTTTGTTATACAGCTTGTAAGCATACCAGATTATGTAAATATGGTGATGGAAAAACTAGTCAAGCAAACAACGCATTTATATATTTCCAAATGTTCTAAAATTCTTTCTAAATCTTAAAGAAGAACTGCCATCAAATAGCGTAATAATTCTAAGAGATTTTGAAGAAAACTATAGTTTTGTTGTGCAGGATGAAATACAAGGTTTTCATTGGAATAATCTTCAGTGCACACTTCATCCAGTGGTTGTGTACTATAAAGAAAATCAAGTATTGTATTCCACTTCATATTGAATAATATCAGATGATAACAATCATGATGTACCAATGGTTTACGAGGTACAAAAATCAATTATAAATAATCTGAAGCAAAAAATACCCAGCATTGTAAACGTGGTCTACTTTTCTGATAGGCTGTTCATCTCAATATAAAAACTGAAAAACCTATGTCAGCATAAATCATACTTTGAAATAGATGCAAAATGGGTTTTCTTTGCAACCAGCCATGGAGAGCAACCTTGTAATAGTATAGGAGGAACAGTTAAACGTCTTGTAGCTAATACTAGTTTGCAGAGATTTTCTACTAATCAAATGTTAAACTCACGTGATACGTTTGCACTAACAACATCAAAGGTATAAACTTTATTTTTATTTCAATTGAAAGTTTGATAGAAACAAAGCTATTACAATCTGAACGATTTAAAAATGTAAAAACAGTACCAGAAACAAGAGACTTTCATGAATTTATTCCTGTATGCCAAAATGAAGTTAAGATGAAATACTGCAGTGATGACACTATCCCTATCTTGACTTACAAGTTTAAAAATTGCGAGATGCAAGGTGATGTGCAAAGTTGATGTGGAATTTTATTTTATGCACCAACATGGCCCTTGAATCTTAAAGACATTTTCTTGTTTTCTTTTATCAATTATTACTTCGAATCGACATGTCTACGATATGTATATGACAAAATTTTGCATTTATTAAAAAATATTACCTAATTTTGTTTTGTTTTACATTCCAAAGAAAAACAAAGGAATAATTAAGGTTCAATAATTTGTACAAAAATTTATCAATTCATAAAAACACAAACAATTCAAAGAGTTAATGTGTTTTGATATTTAAAATTGAGTTTATATATGGATATGCATGTCATGGATATTGCAGTTTTACGCCTAAGTGAAAATACCTCTTATTTTTTGACTAGCTCTAAGTGAAAATACCTGTTTTTCTGCATTTTGTAGTTTTACACGTAAGTATGAATTCTTACTTTCTGGTTGTACCTAAACTTAAGTACCAATCAATCTTCTCTGTCAATCTCATTAAACTTTCAATCAAAAAAAAAATTAAATTTTTTAGGTTAGTTAGTTAAAAAAGAGCTCAGTTTATTTTGTTTTTTTTTAGATATTTATATTTACTTGAAAAATATGAAGTTTGGAAATATTTAGATCATAACCTTTTCTGCAATTCTTCTTATAGTAAGCATGTTTACTTTTCAATTTTATCAAAAACGCCGATTTACTCTTATTGATTTATTAATAAATAAATAAAAACATTATTTTTTAGTATAATTTTATGGTTTAGCATCTAATAATATGTGGAAAGTTTCAAATTATGAAATAATATAGTTAAGGTAACAACGTATGTATCGGCATTTACTTGTTACTAAGGACGTTGCTAGGGGAGCATGATAAGTGTTACTAAGTTTTAAATTTTAAACGAGCATAACTTCTAAAATATTCCGATTTGTTTAAAACAACTTTGGGGAATTCTTTTTAGCCTAGTTAGTATTATCTTTGTTGCAAAAATAAAGTCATTTAGAGATAGTGGGTTATTTTTTTGAATTTTTGTTGTTGTTTTGACACGGAATTACCCACAAAGCAACTCATTCTCTTTTACCATGCCGTAGGAATTATTTAGGCACCACTCCTAATTAAAAATTTCAGCCTGTCCCACTTCTCCCGCGTTCCTCCACTCTCCCCTATAACAACTCGGTAATTACACTTTATTTCAAAAGTATAAGTTTGTTTAAGCTTCTTTTCTTTGCTTTAAATTATAACACGATTTAAATTTTAAATTATAACATAATTTGCCATTTTGTTGGTTTTTAATATTGTATATTATTAGTATATTTTAATGTTGCATATTATTAGCGAACCGTCAAAATACTATATTTTAAATTATTATAAACGTATAAAGATTTAGCGTTTAAGTACAGTCTTGATGTCGTTTTCTTTTTGTAAACGAAACAAAAATTTATAAGCATAATATTATTAAAAATAACTACAAATGTAACAGATATTAATATCTTGTCGAATTTAAAAGAACTTAATGACCGTTTAATGACACTGCAATTAGATAATGTAAAAATTTGGAAAGATCTTCGCATACTGCAAGGGAAATATGATGACTCCGAGAATCAAATTCTGAAATTATAAAAAATCAGCAATAGCTGTTTCTAAACTACGCCACGAACTCATCGTTTCTTCAAAAACCTATAGAAAATTCCATTGTTACAAATTCAATAAACTTTCGTTCCTTAACTCAAAATCACACGCATACGTAAAACAAAACCATCCTTCACCATAGAGAATAATAAAAAAAAAAAAAGAAACAGGTGATACTTATGCACAAAAAGTTAAAAAACCACCCAAAATGGCAAACCATAATACCATAATATCACCACCCACATTAGTACAACAGTCTTCAAAAAGAAATTAAACATAAAACTATTGATCGAGATTGTTTGGAAGAAAGAAAAAATTATTATTTGAAACCGGGCGTATCTACATCAAAGAAAGAACCAATCTTTGGGAATAAAATTGCTAAGAACAGAAGAATCTATTGCATGGAGCCGTATTGTTCGAGAATTTATTATATTTGTTGGAGGAGTTTGTAATTCCATATCAGAAGCTCTTTTGTTTAACTTTTTTTTGTTTAACGAAAGATATTGGCGTCGAGCCGACTGCTGTCACACTCAACCGGGAAAATAAATATAACCGCTCTATCAAAGTAACAATAAAAAGTCATGAAAAACACATAGTCCTAAAATCGGAAGTTTAGGACCACAATATTATTGTTAAACAATTTCGAAAACTTAGAAACTGAAATGATGCTTCAAAATAACAACTCAGTAACTAAAAGTCAATCTGACGTCATAAATCAATCGGATGTGGAACATCAACTAAACGCAGCTAGTGCCATGTCTCTAAATCAGAAATCACAATGGATGAACGCGCAATAAATTCAAATAGTTGTAGTTTTAGTCTCTGTGCTGTCAGAGTCATCTGTCAGAGTCGTCAATCTCTGCTGTCAGAGTCAATCAAACCCATGCAATATCTCTACCTTAATAAACTCTATTGATATAATTTTTCTATCCGAGCACTGGCTTTCAAACAACGAGCGATTTATTTTATATGACCTATCAGCTCCGACAAATCAATTATTTTTTCACTCTGCTGAAAAAAAAGAATACGGAAGACCTTTTGAAGGAAATGCTTTTTTAGTTTGTAAAAACTTACTTCAT